GAGAAAGTTAGTGGGTAGAGAGAAGGACGGGATGGAGGAGGGAAAAGGGGGTGAGAAGGAGAAGGGAAAAAGGGGAGAGGAAGGGAATGGGGAGGAAAAGAGGAGGAAGGGAAGGCAGAACAAGGCAGAAAGTCTGATAAGGGATAGAGCAAACAGTATGCCTCTATTGGAATTATTCAAGAGAGGAGAGAAAAGGAGGGAGAGATTGGAGGAGGATGTGGGAAGGAGGGAGGGAGAAATTTTCAAGAGGAGTTCGATGTTGGAGAGATCACCGGTTAGACAGGAAGAAGGGGGATTGAAGGAAATATTAAGGGAGGTAGGAGACGGTTTTAGGGATATAAAAAGTGAAATAAGAGAGATAAATGAAGGTAGAGAAGAGATGAAGGAATGGATGGAGGAAATGAGAAAGAGAGTAGTCGGTTTGGAGAAGAGAGTGGAGGTAATAGAGAAAGGATGGGGAGGGGCGGAGAAGGACGAGGGAGGAAGGGGGATGGATAAAGGGAAGGGGATGAAGCAGGTGGAGATAAGAGAAAAGGGAGATATAAAGGTACTAGAAGAAAGGATGAGGAGATTGGAATTAGAAGAGGAAAAAAGGAAAAGGAAGGAGTGGAAGAGGAATATAATAATAAAGAGAGTAAGAGTAAAGAAAGAGGGGTTGGAGGGGTTAAGAAGAGAGATAGAAGAGATATTGGAGGTAACGGGGGCGGGTGTATATCAGTTAGACAAGGGGCAATTGGACACAGTCCAATCACAAGTCGCTGTTCCAAGAGACCCTACAAATGTCTCTAATCACACGGTGCTGTGATTGGCTGTGTCCAAATGCACCGTGTCCAAGTGCACCGCTCCCACGGGGGCAACAGCGGAAATAGAAGGAATGAGGAGGATAGGGAATGAAGATAAGGAGGGAAGGGAAATGGTATGGGTAAGATTCGCGAGTGTGGGGGGGGGGAAATAGATGTGATGAAGGGAAAGGCGAAGCTGAGGGAGAGGAGGGAATGGATCGTGGATGACTTGACGGAAAAAGAGAGAAGGGTAAAGTGATGGATCAGGAAGGAGGCAGAAAGGAATAGGAGGGAAGGTAAGAAAGTAAGAGTAGGATATATGAAAATATGGATTGAAGATAAATTGTGGATATGGGATGAGATGAGAGACGAACTGAAGGAGGGGAAGAGAAATAAGAGAGGTTGAGAAGGGAGAAAAAGGGGGGAACGTGGTGGGAAAAAGGATAGAGGTTTTTTAGAAGGGGGGTGGGGGAAGGGAGAAGGGGAGAAAGCAGGGAATAGACGAAATGAAAAAGGTGGGAGAAAGAGGAGGAATAGGGGAAGAGGAGATGGTAAGGAATATAAAATAGGTTTTTGGAACGTGGCCGGCATGGAAAACAAAAAGGAGGATTTTAGGGAGAAATTAAAGGAATGGGATGTGATGTTCTTAAGTGAGACATGGCTATAGAGAAAGGGATGAGAGAGGGTGCAAAAATGGTTACCGAAGGGATATGTTTGGGAAGTGCAAGAAGCAGGAAGGAAGAGTAAAAAAGGGAGGGCAATGGGAGGAATGATTGTAGGAATCAGGGAGGGGATAGAAAGAGAAAAAAAGAATGAGGAAAGAAGGGAGGAAGGATTACAGGTGGTTAAAGTTAATCTGGGGGAAGAATGGTGGAGATTAGTGGGAGTATATGTGAATGGGGATTTGGAGGATTAAATAAGGCAGTTAAGAGAGTGGATGGAGGAGAGAGAGGAGGGGGTGAGTGTAGTAATAGGGGGCGATTTTAATGCAAGGACGGAGAAAGAGGGAGAAGGAATAGGAGAGAAGGGAGAGGGAGGGATAGGGGAGAGAGAGAGAAATTCGAAGGATGAAAAGATGAATAGAGAAGATAAGAAATTGTGTGGTTTTTTAAGGGAATTAGGATGGTCGATAATGAATGGATGCATAAAGGGGGACGAAGAGGGGGAGTGGACTTTTACGGGAGGGAAGGGAGGGACGGTAATTGACTATGTGATCGGGAATGAGGAGACGAGAGGGAAAGTAGTAAGGATGAAGGTGGAGGACTGGGTGGACTCCGACCACCAGCCGATCACAGTCTACGTGAAGGGGGGGAGGACGTGAAGAGAGAATTGGAAAAAGGAAAGGGAAAGAAAGAAGAGGGGTGGACGGAAGAGGGAAAGAAGAAGTTTGAGAAATACGTGGGGGAGAGGGATGGTGATTGGCAGGGAGTGGAGGAGGAATGGCGAAAGATGAAGAGGAGAGTGGAAGGGGCTTTAAAGAGAGTGGAGAGAGAAGAGAAAAAGGTGAGAGGAGGATGGTTGGATGGGGAATGTAGGAAGATGAAAAGAGAAGTAAGGGAGGAATTAAAGAGGTGGAAGAAGAGAGGAGGGGAAGG